TTCTTCCTCCCCCACTTCTTTCCTCTTTTCCCTTCCTCCCTCCTTTTCTTCTTTTCTTCCTCTGCTTTTCTCCCCCACCTACTCCCTATTCTCCCTTCCTCTCCTTCCTTTCTTTCTTTCATCCATCCATCTTTCTTCCCTGCATTTCTCTTCATTCGCTCTTTACCTCTAACATTTCTCCCCCACCTTCTTTCTTTTCTCCCTTCCTCTCCTCTTCTCTCATTCCTTCCTTCCTTTTCCTCTCCTTCCCAACTTCCTTCCTCTTTTCCCTACCCCCTCCTTATTTTCTTTTCTCCTTCTGCTTTAACTCAATCACCTTCTTCCTCTTCTCCCTTGCTTGCTTTATTTCCTTCCTTTCCTCCTTCCCTTCCTTCCTCAACTCTCCTTTTTTCCTTTCTCCCTCCCCCACTTGCTTTTATCCTCCCCAGGGTAATTTATCCCTCCTTCCCTCCACCCTCTCCCACTTCCTTTCTCTTTTCCTTACCCTTCCTTATTTTCTTTTCTTATGCTTTTCTCCCTCACCTTCTTCCTCTACTCCCTTGCTCTCCTTCCTTCTTTTCCTCCTTCCTTCCCTTCCTTCCTTCATTCCTTCCTCAACTCTCCTCTTTTTTTCCCTCCCCCATTTCCTGTTGTCCTCCCCTGGGTTGTTACTCCCTTCCTTGCCCACTTCCTTCCTCTTTTCCCTACCCCCTCCTTTTCTTCCTCTGCTTTTCTCCCTCACCTTCTCCCTCTTCCTCATCTCCTTCCTTCCTTTTTTCCACCCCTTCTTCCTTTTTTTCCTTTCTCCCTCCCGCACTTCCTTTTTCGCTCCCCGTGGTCATTCCTCTCTCCCAGGTCCTTCCTCCTCCTCTTCCTTCCTCTTTTCCCTTTTTCTTCCTTTGCTTTTCTCCCCCCACCTTCTTCCTGTTCTCCCTTCCTCTCCTTCCGTCCTTTCATCCATCCATCCTTTTTTCCTGCCTTCCTCTTCAGTCCCTCTCTCCCTCCATACCTCTGACATGCCTTAGGAGTTTGGGCCTTGTTAAATAATGTTGCTGGTGACATCCTGACATCTTCTGTATGCACACCTTAACTGTTTTGGCTTCTTTACGGCACCACTGTCAATTTTGCCCTAGATACATGGAAATAGGTCACTAAATAATTAAAACAAATTTATGATTAACATGTTTTAAAAAGAACATCTTTTCCTTCCCCGATGAAGAGATTCCTAAATGGAAAGTGCGCTCATTGTTACAAAAGTTAGATAAATATGGATTCCTACAAGTCATACAGAAGAATGTGAGCGCCGGCCTATGTGCCAGGAAGCTACTAAGTTTCCAAACATTGCTATTTAAACGGAAATGCTAATGTTTATTGATTAATTATATTTATTTATTTATGTATTTATAAGTCACAAAATTGTTTTTCATATTATTTTAATTATTTGATTAAAACCTGTAATTTACAAATACAAGCATATTACAAGGTACGTCTATGACACTCAGTCTGTAAGACAAGTTGCACATTCCGGCAAGAAAGCCCATCGCTGCTTCTATGCTTGGAAGCCACTTTTGTATAACTGACTAGACAGCCAATCTCTGTTCGGAAAGAGGGTGCAGGTGTGCGACATCTCTGAGCCTCACTCTGAATTACATTTTTACTATTTTTCAGGCCAATTGCACATCATATCTGGAGAATAAGCTGCATGATAGCTTAAAGTGGGGAATTTGAAATAATGCTAATTAATATTTCATATTAATGAAAACAAATATTACATTTTTTTAATAAAAAGTACAACAAATAACAAACATAAACAATACATTTCCTTTAAAAAAACACTGGTCTAAATTAAAAAGAAAGAATATTTTGAATAGGGATTTAATGTATTACTAGATAGAAACATGTTGGTTCCCTTCCCTTTTAAAGGTGAACAATGGGGTAAGTGTATTTCCCGACAGTTCTCTTTAGGGTCACAGGAGGACATATACTAATGCCCGCAATATACTGACAGCGCCACAGCCGGATCCCGACAGTACTGTCGAGATCCACCCAGCTGCGTGACTGACAGCTGGCTCTACCTATCTAGGGGCAGAGCCAGCTGTGCCTGCCCCCACCCCCGTTTGTTCCTCCACTCAGCGCTGGAGAATCGGAGAGGGCAGGGGGTAATCCCTGCGGGGATCGGTGACTGATAATCACCGCTCACTGCAGGGAGACGATCGGGAAGTGAGCGGATCGGTCCATGTTTCTGCTCACTTCCCGATCAATAGAGCCGACCTGTGACAGCTTCTTTGTCACAGGATCGGCTCTAACTATGAGGATGATTGGAAATCACTCACCTCATAGTTCTTCTTTAACAGGAGAGAACCCAATATGAAGTCCAGTACTAGACAATTTTTCGGCTGCCTCCATGTTCTCCATTGCATTATATTGACAAAGAGCAAGATACACCATGCCAGTGATGGCATAACCATCACCATGTTTTTGCACCATGCAACAAATGCACCATGTTTTTTTTTCGTTTTTTTTCCCCTTGTTCAGACCTGCTCAGCTACAACATAAAGAACCGTCCCAAATTCGCACAGTGTATGGCCAGCTTTACCTGTGTTCCCTTTGAACACTCAATCATGTGGGTGTGTAGGCTGAAAATAAAGCAGTTGAGTGCTTGTGAGTCACGGTTATCAATCACATTCTGATTTCTCCAACCCAAAAAATCGGCTGCCAGACATAAAACTTGACTTCCTAGCGGTTGATCAAAGCCAAAAAGAGACAGTAGTTTGGCCGTTCCGAATGTCCGTGCTCATGTAGATACATCAAGCTCAAGGTTTCTGT